CGATAGGCCTGAAAATTCGTTACTTGAAGAATACCTTATTTTCGACCGAGCTACTAGACCACGTAAGTTGCGTTTTGTTTATGAATTGTGCGAAGTATGAATTTTTTGTAGCTCCCATCATTACACCGGCCACCACGCAGAATCTCGAAGATATGATAAAACAACGAATCAAAGACAAGGTATGACGTTTATGTTAAGGGTTCAACAAATAGATTGACTTTTATTATGCTTAAGGCCTGGGATGACGTCGAACGTAAAGTTAAACCCGAAATAAAGTCGAACACCTATCAAAATACCCTAAAACTCGACCAACAAAAGTCTGAATTGTCCCTTGGCGAGGTTTACGAAAAAGACTTCCTGAAACAATACCAGGTACGGTTCAGAAGTTTTACTGATCTATTGCACATACTTTGCATTGGTTCATTCAGACTTTCCCAAAGCATCAGAAATACAAAGCGCATAATTAATTCAGAACGAAATTTCACAGCATTATATATATATATATGTGTCGTTTGTGATGAACACATGGTACCCCTAATAGAGAAAATGATGCGAGATGTAGCTGGTAGTGAGGATGCTCAAATATCATTGAAACATGACCTGCGTAAATTCCCCTACGAACTGGCAGCAAAGGTTTGCAGTTCCGTAAAACCTGTTTCTGGAAGAGGGACGCGCCTTTAACGCAATTTACCGCATATATTACCGACTGAATGTTGGTAGAGTTGGATTTGAATACTGACTTGAAAATTTTGTTTGACGGAAGTCGTCAGATAATGAACAGAACCTTCCCGCTAAATTCTTTCCGCCGAAGTGAAGAAGTCTAGTAACTTGAAGGTAAGATTTAATAGGTAGGATTAAGCTTTTCCAATTTTGGGCTCGTTTTTGTACCGCGGCTAATCTACCAAACAATGTCCATGGTAAAATTTTTGCATACTGCGCATATTTTGCCTATAGTTTTTACAAGTGCTGTAAATGAATAAAATTTAATTTACTGATAAAATAACATTCACTTTCATTGAAATCACGTATCACATTATCTTCAATATGCTACGTTCTGATGACTGAGAAATACGTTGAAATATCAGGTTAGTTTCTACATGCTAATTCTAGAAAGAAGAGAAAAAGAACCCGCAGTACGAGGAAATAGAGAAGCGTATGAAAGAGCTGTTTCACAAACTGGACCTTCTTTGTAGTTATCACTATGTGCCACAAAATGTAAGCAGAATTTGTCGGCGTTTTTGAAAACATGTTTTGATTTTTGTTAATGTAGGTTGTGTCAGAAGTTAAAGTCGTTAACAATATGAAATCAGTGGCAGTCGAAGACATCGCTCCTGCGAACTATAGCGAGGCATCTCAGCTCGCCCCAGAAGAAATAAAGGTTAAGATTTGTACCGTCTCCGTTTGATCAACTTTATCAACTTTAGGCGAGAATGGTTACCGCTGAACTGAAAGCCCCGGAAGAAAGGACGAAAACGGACAAACTCAGAGAAAGGAAGCGCATAAAAAAATTTAAAAAGTTACATGCTGCGGACCACAAGCAGAATGTTGTCGAATCCAAGGAAATGGACACTGACGACAAAAAACCGACTCGGTTAGAAAAAAAGAAAAATAAAAAGGTTATATTAAAAGGCCACGTCTTATGTGTAAGATGTAAATTCATGTGCCATAATTTCTTATGTAGATTCATAAAGTCTGTAGCGTCTACGCCTGCTCGGGCAGACATTTATTATAAATAAGTAATTTCCTAATTTCTCTAGTTAATTACTATACTATATACCTTAGAGCATCGTCAGCTTTACATGTCATCGCATCAAATTCCGTCAATGAGGCCCTCCTACAGTCCGAATGATCGTGATATGATGCCTGCAGGTTTGGACCTGTCAGTTCACAAATCAGCTTAACCTTAACCAGCCAGTTTCAAGAAAACCATTCTGAACCCCATTCTTCGCTGGTGGCTGACGGGGATGATCTAAATACCAGCTGGACTGGATCTTGGGCAAGACGTAACATTTCAAAAAATCTCGCTAGAGGAAGTTCGACTAATGAGGTTATCAGGTTTCCGCTTACCTTCAACGAGCGAACCGTTCTAAACGCAAGTCGCATAGGATATGGTAGGTCTGAAAACTTCCATAAATGGTAGAAGGAACTGCTATAACGAACAAGAGATGCAAGCGATAGAACATCACCTGTCATTATCTCATTTATACCCACCGTGGCTGAACAAGGGCGGTGTACGTACACATTCCGGATGCAGTAGAGTGGCTGCCGGAACCGAAGCTAGAACTATG